TAAATGATTGGGTTTTGGTAGCGACACATTCTTTAAGTTCAGCAACAAGAAAAGTAGTAGCTAAGTTTAAACCAAAATTTGAAGGTCTGTATAGAGTATTAGATGTTAAGAATAACAACGAAGTGATATGGAAAGCGGGAAAAAGGTTAACGATTAATGTAGATCAGGTTCGAATATATCGTCATAGGAAATGTGACGAGACGGAGATAGGAACTGGTAATTCTCGGATAACGGTAGTTTGCGCGATGAATCAAATGGTTTTGACAGAGTACAACGGAGATCAAATGACTCGCGAGATGATAAAAAGAAAGGGTCAGAAGTAAAGCGTGAGTTGGAGGAAAAAGGGTTAAGTTTTAGAAATAATCAGGGAGAGAAACACACAAATAAGACCAATAAGCGCGGACCACTTATAAGATCAATACCTAGTTCTTGGTCTGATAAAGATAGAATGATTAAAAAAAGAGTAAAAATGAACGATTAGCCTATAAGAGATCACATGAATCTAGGTCGGGAGGACCAGAAAGGAAGGTTCAGAAGGGATCAGGGCATAGAGTGAATAAAAGGGCTTTGTCGTCTAATTACAGAACTAATCATAATCTGACAAAATTTAGAAAGAAAAGCCGAAGGGAAGAGACAGTGACGCCCACCACAAGCGGCTACAACCTTAGACCACGAATTGGAAAAAGAGAAGAGTCCAGACCGACCATAGAGAGGAAGACACAACAAGGAGGTCCCGTTCGTTCCAGAAAAGGCAGAGAAAGGAACGATAGTCCATACATCGCGGAGCGAACAAGATCAAGCAACAAGAATGCCAGACGAGGAGGTGATCAACAACGGCAAGACCAGGAAAGGAGAGGAACGTGGACAAAGAAATCCTTTTCACTGGAGGTCTTGGTAGGAAACGCCAACTACAAGTCATAAGAACCAGGTTGTGTGTATCGTTTCTTATTATATTCCTTCGAACAAGTGGTCGGAAGAATTTTTGCAATAAAGCAAAGTCACGGTCGGATAATTAAAATTTTAGAAGTCAAGCAAAAGTGGACACTACAATGAGTGCTTTTCTAGAAAAGGAAAAAGCTTTTGTCTTGTAAAATGTTTTGTATAAATCTGGAGAAAACAACTGTAAAAATGCATTTGTTTACTTCTGTTATGACTTCGCTGGGATGCAACAATTACTTTGGTTGTTTGTTTAGTTTATTGAAAAAATGTTTATAATTGTATAGTGTATATATATGTGTTGTTATATTGTTTCATATTAAGGAACATCTGGTTTTGGGAAACGCGGCGTAGATAGCATACTAACATAACGTTTAACCAGCGCTACGCGATTTGAGGGGAAGTTTTTGAAAGAACCAGATGAAAAATATGTATAGAAATTAGTTACAATTTAAAAGTGATATGTACTGTATAAAAATTGTGAAATGTAATCATAATGTGTAAAAAAAATTTTTCAAAGTACTCAAGAAATTTTTGTTTCAGGGTAACAGACCCTGAAGTCTATAAGAAATTAACCTATACAAAGAACGGAGCTAAAGAGAAGATGTAAAGAAGAAAAAATTGTTAGAATTTAAGTAAACATTTAGGTAGAATTAAGTTAGTTAAGAGACGTGTGGGCCTCGTTTTTTCTACCATTTAAGTCATATATGGTTTTTCCCCGGCTCTGTTACCCAGATGGGACACGTCTATTTATTCTGTACATGTGAGAATCTACCGTGATTAAAATGCATGACTTTGAACGTTAGTCTATTTAATTAAGTAAAATTTAGTGAAGCTGTGGAAATTCAAATTAAGGAGAAATATTAAAAATTAAAATTAAGATGAATAGTAAAAATTAAAATTTAATTGAAGCATTAGAAATTAACGGTTAAAATAAAATTTAGGCACTTAATTTCTTAACGGCCATTAAGACCCTCGAATAAATCACGTTTTGTTTCTTGGAGGGGATTGTGACGTCTTACGCGTCTTTTCTTTAACAAGTCTTTTGGGTTCTTTGGGCCAGAATTGATGGCAACTCTTTTCCAACCAAATCCAAGAAACGAGAAGTGAAGAGATGCAAATAATATAGGATAAATATAGGATCTTAGAGTAAGCGTGATGGCAATGATGGCAATGTAATGGTAGTGTAAAGGAATGTTAGACAATTAACGTGCGTTGTGGCAGTGGATGATTATAGAAGTTCGTCGTTCAAGATTCAAGTTCTACGTGTTGTGAATAAACATATTGGTGATCGATTAGAAGTTAAACGTAAAGCTAAATACCATTGTAGAGAAAGACAAGTTTATTACAGAATAGTACAAGGTAGGATTGATTACTTATTATCATTATATTTGAAGATTAGGCGGTTCAATTATTAAGATAGGTCTGAATTATATTGTGTGTTGCGTATTGCGTCATCGTAGATTATCTCATTCATTAATTTATATTATATTTGTTCAAAGTTTAAGTTGAATATCTTAATAAAGTCATATTAAGATAATGTTTGATTCTAGTTCTTACGTTAACCCTACACTTCTAGCTAAGGCTGATACTTCGAGGGATGTTTGCATCAAGTATGTTACGAAAAAAGTAAAAAAGTCTCTTTCCGAAATTATCAAAAATTAGTTAATGTTAAAAAATGGTTGAATATAATATTTATTAGTATAATATATATATATATATATATATATATATATATATATATATATATATATATATATATATATATACACTCAGGAACATTGAAAATAGCGACCCAAGAAGAAAGCATCGGATTGAAATGAAATTTAATACACATAATGACACAGATGAGAGATTCACTTTATCTCAAAAACAAGACAATTAAACGAATACAGGGTGTGCAACGACACAAATACTGGGCAACTTCAATAGCGCGTTGGACCACCTCCAGCTGCAATACATGCCGCCACACGGTACGGCATTGAGTTGATTAGACACCTTATGTTGTCCTGAGGCAGATGGGCCCACAAATCTTGAACAGCCAACTCTAAATCATTACAGAGTGACACGATGGCATCTGCCGTTTTAGCTGATCCCACACGTGCTCTACAGGGGACAAATCGGGGGAGCAGGCCGGCCATGGAAGGGTCTGAAAATGACGTAGGAAGTCTTGAGCAACTCTTGCTGTATGTAGACGAGCATTATCTTGCTGGAAAATTGCCCCTGAGAGACCATTTAGGAAAGGTCCTACATGGGGTCGAAGAATATCATCAACGTAACGTTGGCCCGTTAAGGTTCCACGCATCACTATTAAAGTGGACCAGCTATCATAGGCTATGCCCCCCAGACCATTACACCAGCTGTGCGGGTAGTGGGGCGTAGAACAGTGTGGGGGGAATTGTACCGCTCACCAGGGCGCCTCCACACCCGTACACGGTTATGATCTGTCCCCAAACCGGGATTCATCACTAAACACAACCTTTTACCAATCTGTGACATTCCACATTGATCTGGCTTGGCACCACTGTAGACGTAGTTGCCGATGTTCCGGTGTTAAAGGGAGTGCACGGTAAGGGCGCTTGGATTTAAGATTTGCTTCTGCAAGGTGTCTGTAAATTTTTTGTGGAACAATTGATACGCCTACGTCTGCTCGTATTGTTGAAAGAGTCACTGTGGGGTCCACAAGTGCTTGCCGCACGATCCTTCGATCCTCTCTCCTTGTGGTCTTCCTGGTCACTCCAGACCCGATTTTCCGCGCGTGGGTACCTTCTCGCGTCCACTGCTCCCAACAATTTCTAACGGTACACTCCGAACGATCCACCAGGCCAGCGACACGGCGCGTCGACCAGCCTGCAGTTTTCATCCCGATGATCAGGTCTTTCTCAAACTCGCTTAACTGTGAGAAATGTCTTCTAGCACGTTTACCTGGCATGTTTCGCTTACCAAAGTCTTCCTACAATCGGCGGGTAATCGTCACGTTTATGAATCTTCGAATTTGCGCTGGCTTATATAGCACCCTCTGCCTGATTGTAGCGCCACCTCGGCGTGTATGAGCATGCGTATTGGCACAAAACATGGAGCATTTGCATATCACATTACGCTGTACTTATTTGCAAAGTTTCGCGATTGTACTTAGCTTCCTTCTTGGGTCGCTATTTTCAATGTTCCTGAGTGTATATATATATATATATATATATATATATATATATATATATATATATATAAACATATATATATATATATATATATATATATATATATATATATATATATATATATATATATATGTTTAAAAATATCATTAACAATTAAATATATGAACAAATGTTAGTTATTAAATACAGATTTAAACTAGAATTTTTTTCACAGTTAAATTTAAGCATAAATAAGTATTAATATATCAATATTATTTCACACAATTTCAAAAGTTTCAGCAAACTTTTTAAGAATGGAATTAAACTTAAGCTCGGGTTTGCTGAATAAGGAAAAAAGTTCGGAATTGGAGCATTTTGGACATCAGGAGGAAAATTCAAGCAAAAATCGATAATCATTAAACTTATATTTCGAGTAATCTTGTATTATGTGATCGAAGAAAGAATTGCAAGTGTTTTGTACATTCTGTACATATTGAATTATAAGGAATTATGAGAAAGAGAATTAAAAATAATCACACACATTCATTGTTTTGTTTTTTAGAGCAGTTCGGAAAATGACCCAAATAAGTATTCACGTTGCAATAGAATTCAATAACAAATAGTGAAGTATTTCTTAATTTCGTCAATTGAGATAGCAATTAGATATTATTTAATGTACACGTTAAAAGAATGCATTGTAAAAAAGTATTGTTGTAAATCGGAGAAACTAAAGAAAAGAAGAAAAACGTTTCCTTAAATTAGCTGTCGATATAAAAAAATAAGCTTCCTTGCCAAAAAAAAAAAAAAAAAGAGTCCGACAGACACCCATCAAATGTAAACAATTCTTCATACATTGCACATTTTATGACATGTCACCTTTTCTGAGAAAAAAAAAATAGAATGTTTGAAAATTTTACATGAAACAAAACTTCCCTCGAGCCGGAGTCGAATCAGCGACCTATAGATAACAGCAGTTTCTCCTCTACAGTCCACCGCTCTGCCAACTGAGCTGTCGACAGAACCTACTACAGGTACTCTCAAGATGAAATAAATTTAACAACTATGAAAGCTAGTGGCATGTGTATATATACAGTGAAAATCGAAGTTGAGGTAACTGAAATATTTTTTTCGGGTTAAAAGAATATTGCGTTAATGGATCTTGTAAAAAAAAATCATAATTGATCAAAACTTTATACGAGTAGATTTTATTTCATAGATGTGTATATGTGCATGTATTTAATAAAAGCCCGTGCAACACCGGGCCATGCAGTATCCGTATAAACATTTAAATAATTTACTCTTTTTTTAATTATTGTTGATAAAGTAGTTAGTAATACCAAAATCCTTACAGATTTCTGTTTTCGATCAACGGTCTTTTGCGAAAGAGCAGTTTGCTTCCCCTGATTTTTTTGCCGTTGTGTGTGTGCCCCCAAAGAAATTATTTTAAAATAGAAAAAATAATGCGAACCAAACTCGCTGATTTTTATTCACACTGCCGAATCACTCATCACCGAATTTCAAAGCCAACTGTTGAGAGATGAGATCTTTTTGTGTTACGTTTGTAAAGATGGAGAGTGAAAGAAGCTGACATAAACAAAATTGACTCGTGTCACAAGCTATTCCGAGGGTATTTCAAAACCAAGTTAGCCTTCTTTCTACGAAACATACTAAATGACCTCTTTCATTTCGTACCCCACTTAAATCTCGCCTGTGTGGCTGGCGTTTTCCGTATTTTGTTCATTCCCAGAAAGGAAAACTTTTCGCGTTAAGCGATTTCGTGTTAAGCGATGCATTCGGAGTTTGTAAGGACCGTTGTACTATTCCGTGTTAACCGATGTTTGGTCTTTAGCGTTTTCGCGTTAAACGCGTGTTGCACTATTTATATTAGAGTGGCGCTTATAGATTCTTAATTTCTACTCGCACTCCTTGCCCTCTTCTTTTTTTTTTTATCCCAAGAAACAATTATAGACTTCATTTGCTCAAATCGGAAGTTGAGATCCCGTGCTTCATCATCATAGAAAACAAGTGGAAGCAAGCACAAACAAAATGAATCTTGTCTCGCTCCGCCTTCCACCGTCGACTCCTCTCATCTTGTGTGCGCTAGCCGCTGATAGAAGAAACTACGAATGCAATTTTCGCTTCTGATTTGAAAAGTGATGATCGAATATTTATTTGATAGGCAACGAGTCTCACCAAAATACAAGAAGTAAATTTTCATCCTATCGATTCTCACTATAGGTTAGTGGTGTACTCAAGAGTGAGGTTCTGGAGTTAAAACCTCTTTTTTAAACAAAAAAGTAAAAACACCGGAATTTTTTTATTTTGTTTAGCATAAAAATTATTATTATTGTTTTTGTCTACGTTTCTTTTTTTTTTATTGTAGACCAATCCCATTCAAAATTAGTCACGTGCGCCCCTGTTATCGGTGCTGTTTTATAATTTACAGGAGGTTAAACTGTTCTGTAGTGAAAATGCAAACTTAATAGAGCGTGAAGACTTCATTTTTTTTAGAGAAAGCAAGGCCTTTCATTCGAGTGACACCTCAAAGGGTCGAAAAAAATTATGCAAATGTACTCCTGTTGGCGCATTGTCCAATAAAATACCCGTCGTACGTCAGACACGCTGGAAGAACGTGAACGTAAGTTTATTTAAATAATTTATTTGACATTGCTACCGCTAATGCTTTTGAAATTGTAAAAATAAAGACAAAATTTTGTTTATTGAACCTACTTGAAACGTCGCGAAGAAGTTTCGTATTGTGTTTTATCATTTGAAACAAAATGTAACTTTTACGATGTATCGGATTTTTATTTCAATGTCAGAATTAAAAATAACTATAGATGTTTTGTAAAGTTTCGATTTTTGTATCCATTTCCTTTATCCAAAACTCAAGATTTTTGAATTTAAACGAAGGAAATGTAGGGAGTTTGAAAAAAGTACCGGTTCACTTTCATATAAATGAAATAAAAATAAATAATTCACTAACGATATTTTATGTTCCACAAAGAAAAAAGTAAAGTTTCTGAAAAATGAAATGCAAACTAGATGGCGCAATGTCCCTGTTTTTAAACATTGTCGGTTACCTCAAGAACAAGCGCAAGTTGTAGCATGGTATATCAAATTCAAATCTGCAATACATGTACAAACGTTAATTTCGAACTGCCTGTAAATGAACTTCAAGTACTTCCATCTCAAAAAAAAAAAAAAAACGAAGCCTTTAATAAATTCTTTATAGAACATAAAAAAAACCCTAATTGTTTACTTGTAATTAAAATATCAAAGTGTAACTACATTTTTAGCACACCCGGTATTTGATGTGAACGAAAATGATTATTTTACATAATATTTATCACGGAAAAACTAGGGCATTTAGGAATTATAGGGGTATTATATTTCGAAAGTAAAATTATCTGCTTTTCTCAAATAAGAATAATATACAGTGGGTGATCGGTTAACGAACATAATCCGTTCCAAGACTATGTTCACTATCCGAATTGTTCGTTAACCGATCATCGATTCACCATAAACTTCTGTCTGAAATCGATTAATTCGTTCTGGAGACCCTAATAATTAAATTTTAAAAAATGTATAATTTCTTAATAAGTTTTTTAAAAAAATAATACATACATATATTGTCTTGCATATTAATCAGTCCTTTTCATTTTTTGCTTATGGGGCGTTGAAGAACATGTCCAATGTCGACTGCTTTTCTCTCTTTTCAGGATTTTCTGGAAGTAATTAATAGCATTGTCGTTGTAAAGATCCCCAACGCAACTGACATCAGTTTGGTTTGGGTGCCATTCTAAGACCATTTTGCTCTGACATCCTCCCACTTTTTCAAAAGATCTTTAATGGCAGATGTCGGCATTGGTCCTCTTTCGTCTTCCTCTTGTTCAGAACGAGACACATTTCGTTGTGTTTCTTGGTGTTCTTCATTCAAAACTTCTGCCGTCTTCAGCCGTCAGTTCATCTTCATGTCCCATTATGAGCTCTTCTGTGTCATCCTCGTTCACCTTTATTTTCAGATCTCTACCAGTTGTCAAAATTTCATCATAATTTCAGGGGTGTCTCCCTGATCACCTCCGTCAGTAGTAAGGGCAGGTTCTGGGGTATAACAATAGAAGGCGTGTCACCTGTCAATCAAACTCCTCCCAACAGAGCCATCGTCCAACAGGAGGGTTCCCCCCTTTCCCCTTTCAACCTGTTAGATAAGGAGGAGGACCAATCCCCTTCCCCTCTCCCTCCCCGTCGTGCCACGTGCAACTAAAGGGTTCTTTGGAAGGAGTTGAGGGGTATACAGCTTCTCTTGCAGTTTTCTGATTGGATGTCGATATGATGTAGATGCCCCCTCCTTCTCATCGTGTAAGATGCACGTGGAAGTCTTTTTTCTGTGTCCAATCTTGTCAGAACAGGGACTGACTTGAGTATGAGTCAGAACGGAGTTACACTTCAGATATCAGCCCTCGCTTCGTAAAATATCTTCAATGGGAAGTCTATGTTTTTTTTAAAAATATTATCGATTGGTCAATAGTTTTCAACGATTCACCTTTTAAATTGTTATTACTTCAAAATTAAATAAAAAAGGCATTATTTAAATCAACTTAATTAAGTTAAAGTTGTTTTTTTATCCGAAACAATGAATTATTGCCTTTCAAATACGAAAGTGAATTATACATTTTTACAAATACAAGACGCAAATATCAAATTGTGAATAATTTACTTTTTCAACAATTCTAGAGAAAACAAATATTTATAATTATGAGAAAGTTCAAGTTGTTTATAATCGATGCACAAAAGTAGAATCTTATTTGAATTTTAAAATCTCATTATTTACAATTAAAACTTAACGAGTTATTTCACGGAGCATACTCTCAATTGTCGCTAAGCCTATTGGCCTCCACGTTGACCGAAAAACGTGGCTTCTCGCCTGTAAAACCGGAGTCTCTTCTCTCACGTCTGTCTCGTTCCACGTCGCAATCGTTTTCTCCCCCCAAAACCCATCATTCCGGGGGGATACATATATTCGCTGGTAGCGCCATCTATTGGTGAGGTTGTAACCTCACTGATCGGAGAATATATTTAATTCTCTAATACTTTAAACCCTACAAACTCGGCCAATCCTGACAGTCGATGACCTCAGCGACGCTTGAGAATGCTCTCATGATTACATATCGTATTACATTACAAAATATAAGAAAAGGTACACAACATGCATAAGACATATAAAGTGAAGGGTATACTCTATGGTTATTAAAATTAAATGTATACATTTGTAATTACTATTCTATTAATGAGAAAAATACTTCATTAAATCAGCGGAAGTAGCAGTTACATTTGTCCCAGCGTGATCCCTTACTTTCTCAATTGTATATCTGTCTCTAGGTTTCACTTCCGTAATCTGATATGGTTTGAAAAATTTGGGTCTAAGTTTAAGGCCTCCACCAAATTGTGTACGTTGGACCGCTATCAAATCACCAACTTGGTACTCAGGAGCCTTTTTCCTTTTCTTATTATAAATTTTCTTGTTCTTCACAAGTACTAAGGGACTAGCATACTCTGACGAACTTGGTCTGACTATTCCTTGTTCGAGCTATTCTTCAATGTGTTTGTTCACACTTTTCTTTTTCACGTACGACAACCGACGTGCTGGTTGATAGGTAGGGATATCATCGTTCAGTATTATCCTTCTCGTCACATCTGTGGATTCAGTCTTCTCAGGTTTGTACGATGAAGTTATTCTGGTTACATCATTTTTCACTTGTGAGTCAAGGATGTGACTGAAATGTAACTCATCTTCAGGATGTACTCTGGATAATTGCATTAGACATGCCTTTTCCTCATGCTTATGGAACATAACACCCTCTTGGGTGAAATTCAAAGCTTGTCTCCCAAAATGTCTGTACCTATAATGGCTTCAAAATTGAGCTGTTTGGCTGGCACCACATGCCACGTTAAAGAATATTCAGCTTTGTCCAAGACAAAATCATACTCGAAGGGGCCCTTGGTTATTACTTCAGTT